AAAAAAAAAAAAAAAAAGAAATGTGCAACAAATAAATGAAGGAAGGAAAACATGCACACATTGTGCCTTGGCTTTTCCCTTTCCTGCTGCCGCAAGGAGCTCCTGATTGTTTCTCCAAGCCCTGCAATCAGGAATAAATTCTCCTTTGTCATTGTGCCCAAGCAGCCTCTCTCTTGGCTCTCTGCTGGCCAGTGAAGGTGGCTTGCCTAGCTGCAGACCCAGGAGACAGGAGGAGGAACCTGGGAAGGCCTCCATGAGGAAGTGATGTTTGCACTGAGATCTGGAGAAGAAGCCAGGCAGAGAGTTCCCAGCAGAAGGACCAAGTGCAAGGGTTTGTCTGCGAGTTTATGGAGGCCACTGGGTCAGGGTAGACAGGCGATCCAGTAAGACTGGCTCCCTCTACTCTAAAAACTTGGGACCTCCTGGAGATCACCCAAGGGATACAGAGAAGCCATGTGTCCCTCTCATTGTCCCAGGGCTTTCGCCTCTACCCAACTGCAATGGCTGCAGCTCTGGGAGCAACTGGGCCAACTGGGCCATCATTTAATCCTCGACTAGTTTAATACCATAAAATTCCAGAAACTGATATTTTAACTTGGAATAAAATCACTCTCAGCACTGTGTGTAATAGGCTGGCTTGGAGACCCAGACCTCCCTAGGGAATTGGGGATGTTTTTTTCTGACCATGGAGGCCTGCTGGGTTTCGAGACTCCTAATCTGAACTGCTGTCCCTAGGTCAGCTGTCCAGTCCTCTCAGACCAGCCGATGTCCCACAGCCAATATTTCCTCAGCTTGGCCGGGTCTCAGCGCAGCTTTAACATGCAGGTTCCATGTTCAGCCTCAGTATAATGGGAAGCTGGATTTTCAACCAGGAAGGCACTGGTCTTGCTGCTTTGGCAGATTTCAGGACCCCCACCCCCACCTTGAAAATCACCTCCTATACTTTGGAAATGGCTATGACCTTTGGCTTGGGCCTGTATTCTGTGGGAATAGACAGCTGGGTCTCAGCAGCCCTCTCCCCCTCCTGACCTGAAACTGATGGAGGTGGGCCTACCCAAGTCCCCTTTGTAGGCACCTGGCATTCTCGCTGACCCTGGCATAGAGGACAGGCTTGATACCGGACAGTCATTGAGGACACAGGTTCTCCTGGCCTTGGAAACCAGAACTGCAAAGTCTTGATTTTGAAGTTCTGTCTGGATGTGTGACCTCCCTCCCTGAATATCAGTTCCTTGCTTATAAAGCCGACAAGATTCAACAGCAACCACCAGATAAACCTCTGTCACCTTATGCTGTGTCCACGACAGCCCCTTGGGTGGATACAGGTACCTCATTAACTTATCCCCATTTTAAGAAGGAGGAATTATGTTAGGTGGCAGGACTGGCCCCTGCCACCCCGCCTAGACTAACCCAGCTGACCAGACCGGGGACCACTCACACCGCATTCTCTCTCCTAGTTTGTAGGAATCAAAGCCGCGGAGCTCCAGTCTCCTAAAGTTGGAGACGCCCCCTAGCGCCTGTGCTGGGCTGGGGCGGGGTGGGGGCTGGAGGAGGTTGCAGGGTGGGGTAGGGTTAGGCAGTCTCGTGGGTGTATGTTCATCTCAGAAGGGCTCGGGGGCTTTCCTGGCTGGAATTATCCAAAGCACACGGTGCGCATTCAAATTTCATTATTATTACTGCTGTTGTTTGCCTTGTAGCTAATTAGTGCTCGCTGCCTTCCTTGACCGTTTCAGTGGCGAAGTAAGATGGGGTGGGAGTAGGGGTGGAGGAGGATGGGGTGGGACCTCTCAGGAATCTTATGACCCCCTATCCAACTCCCGACTTTTCCCACGCCTGCTTCTTTCCAGGGCCCCCAAATGAGTGGAAGGGGCGAAGCGCGACACGCGCGGCGGGCATCGTCAGGACGCAGTATCCTGGACGGTGGGCTCCCAGGTCCCCCTCTCCGTAAAACGGCCGGGGCGGGGCGCTCCCTCCGCCCGCAGTGCGCGAAGCCGGCGTGCGCTAGGACCGCGGCGCGCCGCTCATCGTTGCTATATGAGGCCGCGCTCCGGCCCCACGCGGAACCCGCGACTCTGAGCCGTCCCCGGCGTCCCGACCCGAGGCCGGACCCGAGGCCAAACCGGCAACTACGCAGCCGAGGCCAGCCCCGGGCCTGCGAGGGACGCGCGTCCCGGGGCACCCGCCGCTGGCACCATGGGCGCTGCTCACTCCGCGTCGGCGGAGGTGCGGGAGCTCGAGGGCAAGACCGGCTGTGAGTACCCCGCGGGCATGGCGCGGGGATCGGTGTGGGGACCTCTGGCCGGCTACCCAGGGCCCCGGCCCGCCGCCGCGCTGTGTGACCTTGGGCTAGTGGCTGACCCTCTCTGCGCCTCAGTCTCCTCCTCCTTCAAATGGGTCCCAGCCAGTCACTTTGCAGGCTGCAGCTTGAGTTCCGCCGCGATACTAAGTGCCAGGGCAGCTCACTCTCGGAGTTGGCAGGGCACCCCCGGGCCTGAGGAGTGCGGACCCGGGAGGGATCAGGGCTCGTTTCCCTCAGGACCTGGCAGGAATCCCCCTGGCCAAGAGAAGGAGCGCCCAAGGCTACCTGCCTGGAGAGCACGCCCGGCACCTGGGAGTCATTGAGATTCGCGAGGCGCCGACGCGGAAAGTTTTGAAGTCAACCGAACCTGGGTGGGAGTCGGGCTGTGGCGCTCCCTGACCGGGTGACCTTAGGAGGGAGAGTCCGACTCTGGGCGCCTCCCTTTGTCCTCCTATCCGTAAAATGGGTTCGGGCAGGCCCACCCTGGCGGGCAGCGGGGAGGCTAAGCGAAGCAGCTCCCGCAGACTACTTTGTGTGGAGCCCGTCCTCCCGCTGGCTCCCAGGACCCGCAGAGGCTGCACGCCCCGCGTTGGCTAGGGCGGGGTGCATGGGGCCAAGCTGTCAGCAAGGAAGCGATGGGGTAAGCGCCTGTCCGTCCTAGTTCATCTGGGCTGAGGACTTGACCCTGATCCCTGACCTTAGGAGCGTGTAGGCTGAAGACTGAGAGGCCAGGTGTGTGGGCAAACCGGTTTTGGAGAGGGATATATTTGGTGAGAACCCTGCCAGCTCCTCTTCTTGGCTGTGTGACCTTGGGCTAGTCACTTTACCTCTCTGATTGTTAGTTTTCTCTGTGGAATGGGAGATCTGCTCAAGAAATGGAAGCTGCAAATTTTTCTGGGCAGGAGCTGGCTCCTGGCACCTGCTTTGAGTTGAGTGCAGACAACCAGCTTGCTGTGCTGACTACCGAGAGAGGGTGGCCAGCCATCTGTGCTAGGCTGTAAGGCAACCTCTCCTGATCCCCAGTCTACACCCTCCTTTCCAGAATAATTAGATGAAAATTACAGACATGAAATAACGGCATGTGTGTGCATATATATGTACACACATACATATATGTATCTCTGTACAAATACAGAATTATATCCAACTAGGAGAATTGTGCAGTGCAGTATAAATCATACAATTCCCTTTTTCATTTAAAAAATGAGAGAATAAGAGTATGTATTTGTAATTGTTCTATTTACATGAAAGACCAGAAGAATTCATGAGAGAGTTAAGAATGGATACTTGTGGGAGGGAGGGATTTGGTATGAGCCATGAAGAGTCAGCTTTTCACTGTAAACTTTTCTATATTTTCATTTTGAAGTATGTGACCATTATACGTATTCAAAAAGTTTTAATCAACTTCAGTCTCAAGGTTAATGTGAGCCATCCCCCTGGCCCTTATTTCTTGGGTTTCTCTTATTGTTATTATTTCTCAAATACTCTCATGTGCCTCCTGTTGTTTTGTGTCTGGTCGAGTGTCAAGGGGGGCCCTTTGTAGGTGGGATCCCCAGTGGATGGGTGGACCCCTCCTGCAGCCCCCACTGTCTGGGGGAATTCTGCCTGGTTGTGGGTTTGACAGGAGATGGGGCTGCAGAGCATGCTGGGAGTGTTGTCAGTTTCCTGGGCCCAGCCTCCCACGGGGATGACAGATGCTGTGTCCCTGCTCTGTAACTTTCCTAGATGTAGCTGATGTGGCTTCTCTTCTTGCTGCCTTGAGCTCAGATTTCACCCTTTAAAGGGAGATGGAGAGGGCCAGGGAGGAGGTTCTAGGTCAGACTAGAGGGGAGAATGAATGCCTTGATTTAGGTAGGTAGAAATTCCCCCAGTCCTCTGAAAGGGGCTGACACGATCTAGTCATGTTTACCAATTTAGCAAATATTTACAGACCCAGGCTGTCCCCCTGGGTAGAGTGCCATGGCATCACAGCTCACAGCAACCTCCAACTCCTGGGCTCAAGCGAGTCTCCTGCCTCCGCCTCCCAAGTAGCTGGGACCACAGGCGTCCACCACAATGCCTGGCTATTTTTTGGTTGCAGCCGTCATTGTTTTTTGGCGGGCCCGGACTGGATTTGAATCCACCACCTTAGGTGTATGTGGCTGGTGCCTTAGCCACTTGAGCCACAGGCACCGAGCTGGGGGGCTAGAGATCTAAAGGTGATCCAGGGAGGCTGATGGTCCTGGGGGGAGACACAGTAACCAAATCAACCCATAAACATTAGACTGTGTGAACAAGATAGAACAGGGTGGCATGAGAATGGGGCAAGGAAGTGGTTTTCTTTAGGGTGGGCCAGGAGGATACCTCTGAGAAGGTGATGATAATGGAACAGAAACCCAGAGAAGAAGGGGCCACTGATGTGAACATCAGTGGAGAGGGCATTTCAGGCAGAGGGAAAAGCCAGTGCAAAGGCCCTGTGGCAGAAACAAGTTGTAAATGACAACTGTATGAGATGAGGATAAATTTATCATCAGTTCTCAGATCATGGCAGGAGCCTGACCTCAGGGTTCTTGTTTAGGTATATGGCCTTGGGCCAGTCACTTAACTTCTCTGTGCCTCAGTTTTATCTACCATAAAAATGGGCATAATAGTACCCTCACTGGAGTTGTTGGGAAGGCTTCATACATATGTAAAGTGCTTAGAACAAACACAAGAATGCATTTATATTATTGACCATGCTTTTATATGTTCTAGTCTCTTTGAGCCATAGCTCAAAGCCATACCTCTTCCCAGCTATGTGACCTTGAGGCTCAATACCCCTTCCTGGGTCCTGGAGTTGTGTGAATTCAGTAAGGTTAGATATGTATGTATGTATATATGCTGAGCGCTGGGGCATATATATATGTCCCAGCATATATATGGGACATATATATATGTCAGCTTCCAGGGTCCATTTTTCCAAGGCTGTTCCCTTGAGAATCTTCCCTGAGAACAAGAGCAGAGAGCAGGGTAGGGAAAGCAGGGTGCCCACTGGGTTGTTTACTGCCTCTTGGCCTCCCTGAAGACCAAGATGATCCCAGATTTCCCTGTGAAAAATCAGCTTGGTTCCTTCCTGGGGACGCCACCCAGAAAGGATAAGACAGGCAAGCAAGGGATGGTGCTGATGAATGTCACCTGTCACCCCTTGAGCACTTGCTGAGTACCAGGCTCCACTTGGAGTATTCGCACACACTCTTTGTAGTCACGATCTGCAGGGGAAGGTGGTATTGTGGCCATTTTACAGATGAGGAAACTGAGGCTCAGAGAAGTAAAGCAACTTGCCTACAGATCCACAGCTGGTGAAGGGAGGAATTGGGGATCACTCTCTTACCACCAGTGTGCTTTCCCCTGTGTTTAGATGCCTTTGGATTTCTAGGAACCAAGAAGGGGTGTGAAAAGGCTGCCCTTGTTTTTTCTCACCTCCAGGCCTGTGTGCAAGCTGTTCCCTCTGCCTGGAGCAAGTACTCATTTCATTTTGATGTGCATAATTCGTCATTTACATATGAGAGGTTTCCTGTCCCACCAACCAGGATAAGATTTCAAACATTTCTTCTTGACCCTGTCTCTCTGGGAAGATCATGCCCCTCAATGTTCAGGATTTAGCCGTGCTGCTCCCCACTTCCAGCAAGCCACCTCTCCATCCCAACTTTATCCTTTATCCTTGGAGCTCCTGTGGCATTTGCATTCCCTCTCGTAGGAGCAGGCATCACTCCGTGTTATAATTGTCAGCTTTGTCACCTGCTTCCCCCTCAAAACTTGGAGCTCCCCAGGAGCAGAGAGGACATGCCTTGTTCACCTTTGTGTAAAGTTCGTGGTATGCCTGGAGAATGTAAGAGGTTCACATGGAAGGAGTGAAGCCCTGGGGGGTGGGGAGTATTACTGCCCAGAAGCAGATGGAAAACGGAGGGCCCTCTCGCCAGCTGCTTTGGCTATACCAGCCCTCCCGACACCTCCCGTTCCCTCCCCACAGAATGAGCCCTCCTGGCTTCAGCACTGAGCCAGGCTTGCTGAAAATAGCCTGAGCTCCTGCCCACACCAGGGCATCAAGGGGTCTGCATGCCCACCTCCCTTCTTCTTCCTTGTTAGAGTCTCACTGATTGATTTCTGATAGAAGCCAGTATTTCCGGGCTGCTTTTCTGAGCCAAGAAAGCTCCCTACCTGTATTATTAAAATTCATGTCAAAAACCTCAGCAGAAGCTTCCTGGTGGTGTGTCTGTGTTGGCCTTTCCCACTGTGGACTGAGTTTATGTGTGTATGTGTGTTTCTCTCTCTCTCTCTCTGAAATGGACCATCCTTCACCAGAGTTAGTCCCCCTTACCACCTGGAGGTGGCCCCATTTCCTGTCCCTGCCCCCTCCCCCCAATCCTTGCCTGCTCCTGGAGTTTGAAAGGAAATAATAAGAGTGGATTCTGGGAAAGGTGGAGTGTCTGTTTTTTCCTTCAGGCTCCAAAACAGCTCCCCAGGCAAGTCTATGTAGATGCCAAGAAGCTGTCAGAAGGAAAAAGAAAAAAAAACCTCCAGATCTGGAGTTCAGACCTCCTGATGGTAATAGCTAATGTTTATCGGAGTGTGTCATTTGCCAGGAGTGGAGTAGCTAGAAGCAGTCCATTTGCAGTAGCTACTGCAGGAATGATGCTGGGTTCCCATTTTGCAGATGAGAAGATCAAGGTTGAGAGAGAGAGAGACTGCCTGAGGCCACAGGCTAATGAGAAGTAGAGTCAGGTTTTATTCCTGTTCTAACCACTGAGGCTCATCTTTAGGGGAGGGAACTAGAGATGCAGGGAGGGCTGGTGTGGCTGAGGCTGGTGGGATGGCACTTGTGTTTTCCACTGGTTTCTGACTTCTGGCTAACACTCCCTGGGTTATAAAGTCATCAAGTGGCCCCAGAACAGGACCTGGGCTCATTCAACCACAGGCCATGTATTGCCTGTGAC